ATACTTGACCCATTTCACCCCCATGCCCCTCTTGTCCCAGGCCTCACCCACCGCTGAGGTCCCTGGACCCAAGGCAGCACTTCCAGCCACACCACTCCCAGCCATGAGCCCCCTCCTCCCTGTCCCCATCCAGGTTCTCAGCCCCCCTTCCCTCCCTCCCAGTTACTTTTATTATTAAAAAAATAACGAAGTTTTTGTGTTCAACTTAAAACTGGTGTGTTTATTGAAAGTACAGAGAAGGGGAGAAGGGAGGAGTTGTGGTGAGAGAGGCATGGGGGGGCAAGGCACGGGGGGCAAGACACAGGCCGCTAGTGGGGAGGCTCTGGGGAGACTTATTGTGGTTCTTTAGAGAAATTCTCCCTCAGGACTTCCCAGATGTGCACTCCCTCCTGATGGGCCTAGCAGATGGCAGCAGTCCGCAGCTGCTTGAAGGCCTTTCCCTCCCAGCCGGTCTCTGCCCTCCACCCTGGTAGGAAGGCCTCCCCCTACCTCTCCACGATGTTGTGGAGAACACAACACACCGAGACCACCTCGGGGATGTTGTGCTCCCTCACATCAAGGTGAGTCAGGAGACAACTGAACCATGCCTTCAGGTGCCTGAAGGCTCAGTTGGGCCCAGATGATGTGGGCATTCAATTGGTCCCTGTTGGGGTCCAGGTGGCCAGTGTAAGGCTTCATGAGCCATGGCATTAAGGGGTAGGCCACGTCCCCCATGATGTACAGTGGCATCTGCACATCCCCAACACGAAAGTCACACTGGGACGAAAATGTCTGTAAACTGTCCCTGGTGGTCAACCAGGACCTGCAGCACCATAGAGAAATAGCCCTTGCAATTTATGTATTGGACGGCTCAATGATGTGGTACGCAGATTGGAATGTGGGTTCCATCAATGGCCTCCCTGGACCTGAAGAACTGAAGGGCAGCAAATACTGAGACAATAGGGCCCAGGTCCCCCAGGCATATGACCCTGTGCAGCAGGATGGAGTTGATGGCCTTCATCATCTGCAGAAGGAGACAAAGAAACACATAAAACAGAAAATGAGAGGGAGTGCATCAGCCCTTGGGAGGTGCCCACTCCTCTTCTCTGTCCCCTCAAACACTCCAGGAGCCACCTCCTATGAGGCCACACCCCTCTCCAGCAGGGCTATGTGAGGGTGGGATGGCAGAAGCCCCTGGGCCTGGCGCTCCCCCCCCACCCCACACCCCTTTTCCTAGGATCCCCCTTTCTAGGACTCCCCCCTCCCTCCCTGGAGGGACTGCTGCCTGAGAGTGCCTTACCTCCATGAGGAGGGCTCCAATGGTGGACTTTCCCATGCCAGACTGGTTGTCCACTGGTAGCTGTCTGGGGTGGCAAGCTTCCAGATAGTGATGGCAACCCACTTCTCCAGGGATATGGCAGGTCTCATCTGGGTGTACCGTTGATAGAAGGCTCCATAAAGGTAGCCTTCCACATCTGGAAGTTTTGGAGCTACTGCTGGTCATCCCACTGGTCCATAGCCAGCCAGTACCACCAGTCGGAACTGGTGTCCAGCCTCCAGAATCTTTTCTGTACCTTGGGGTGCGGTTGCAAGGTAATTATTCCCGCATCCAAGCAGAGGGTCTCACTAATGAGCTTGGACTAGTGCCTGGATGAGCCATGAATACAGTCTGCACAAAGTGTTGCAGAAGCAACAGCATATCAGTGTGGGGCCATTGCATGCCCAGAAGCAGCTCCGGCTCCATGGCTAGGAGTATGCTGTGGTGTCCTGAAGCAGAGCAGACAGAGCATGCAGTGCTAAAACGTTGGGCTACATCTACACTGGCCCCTTTTCCAAAAGGGGTATGCTAATTTTAAACTTCAGAATAGGGAAATCCGCGGGGGATTTAAATATCCACGCGGGATTTAAATAAAGATGTCCGCCGCTTTTTTCCAGCTTGTAGATAAGCCAGAAAAAAGCGTCTAGACTGGCCTGATCCTCCGGAATAAAGCCCTATTCCGGAGGATCTCTTATTCCTACTTTGAAGGAATCCCCCGCGGATTTCCCTATTCTGAAGTTTAAAATTAGCATGCCCCTTTCGGAAAAGGTGCCAGTGTAGACGTAGCCTTGCTGTCTCTTGGAGAGTTAGGCAAGCAAGCAGCAAAAGCAGAGAAATGGCTCTCCAAAGGGGTCCCTTTAAACACGTGTCTCAGCTAGCCTTAGGCAACAGCACCTGGAAGCAATTGCAGAACTAATGACAAGCCTAAAGTGGTTCCAGGGGCCTTAAATGTGAGATAGCATACAATCAATGTGGATGCTATCTTTCAAAATAGCACAGCACTTTTTTGTTGTGCTTTTGCTATGTAGACGATCTCTTTCTAAATAAGTTTTTCTGGAAGATCTCTTCTGGAAAAGCTTATTCCAAAGGAAGCTTGCAGTCTAGACGTAGCCTAAGAGAAGGCTAAGGGATGACTGCATCACAAACCATGAGTACTTACATGGAAAACAAATATTTGACAATGAGCTCTTCCATCTAGATCAAAGGATGAAAATCCTGAGAAAATACATTCAGAGGAGCACAATCACAGAAATATAATAGTCCTGAAAATGGAAAAAGTAAATGAATGACAAAAATGAGAGAAGTGAAACAATATGTAGGCATATTTCTGTGAATCATGGTTAATTGGAATGATTTTTCATGGAACATCTGCTGCTGTTTAAAGACGTCACATAGAATTAATTCTCTGTTCAGAATGGAAACTGAAAGGTTACATCTAGACTACTTCTGTCTGTTGAAAGAAGATATGCAAATTTGGAGCTAACACCTCTTTTTAAGGAAGAAGGTTCTTTCAAAAAAGTGGGGGTTCTTTAAAAAAACATCTAAACTGTTTTCTTTTTTGAAAAAACCTCTT